TTCGTTGAAATTCTTTTTGTGTAGATTTTTGTCTTTCCTATAATTTTTCCCTGCATTAGTTCAGTAATCAGATTTTTAACTACTGCAGAAGAATGGACATATGAAGGATTGCTACAAATTACAGAATAAAGAAAGAATGTCTACAAGTAGATATTTAGATACTTTAGGTGAAGCAAACCTCGCGAAGAACGTTGTAAGTGATGGAGATATCTTAGCTATTTTTGACATTGAATCTAAATCGGAAGATGATTAGATTCTTGATTTAGCGTATGTGTTTCATATGTGTACTAATAAGGGCTTGTTTACTACATATGAAACTGTTTCCAAAGGTGTCGTGGTTATAGGAAACTACGCACTTTGTCGGTTGTTGGAATTAATACGGTCAGATTAAAACTTTTGGGTGGATCAATTAGAACACTTGGCTACGTTTGACATGTTTTGAATTTAAGAAGAATCACATTTCTTGTCTATCATTGATTCAAAATGTTATGAAATCTTTGGTGGAGGTAAAATTTTGAAGGTTTGTAAGGGTGCCAACATTGTATTGGAGGAACGAAAAAAATTCTCAGTTATGTATCTTACAGGGACGTGCAGAATCTAGAAGAGTCAATTAGCACAATTTTATTACAGTGGTGAAAATTCAGTTTGGTACAATACCTCTAGGAGCTCATAGAGGGTCGGATTTGAAGAATACAACTTAGTTGAGTTTCGAAGATATGGGTAATGCCGCTTTGCCACCATCACCTGCGATGCCATTGTATTCAGTTGCTAGAGATGGACTCAGTGGAACAAGGTATTTGAATGCTGATTTTGTTCAATCTAACAAGGGGCTTTCGGTAAAATTATTTGGTATTGATTTTGCCTTGGGTTTGTTACAGCCCATTTTGGTTAATTCAAAATCATTATGATTTTGAAATCTGAGATAATTTACAACAGTAGTGTTTGGATTCATTGGAAAATGTGGAGTATTCTGTTTTGTTCGAGAAGTTAGTTTTTTGATTATTGTTGAAAACACCTGTTCATTCCTTGAATAAAATTCGTGTCAAGGTGGAGATTGTTGGAATTTGGGTGTGACCTGAATTCCTTTGTTAAAGTGTTTGAACTATTAAAAATTCTAATTGAAGTGCAAGTCATGAATAATTCAAATTTGGAATATTATTAGAGTTCTATATCAAGTTGAAATTCTATTTTGGATCTCCATTGAGAGTTGGAAATTGATATT